ATATACAAAGTTCTCCATAGGAATAACATTATTTTCTTTAAATTCTACCTCAGGGATTATGGTTATGTAAATAATAATTTACTCTGGAGATCTGAGGACACAAGAGCCATGCTTGCCTTCTGTGCAAAGTGTTATCTTATTCAGAGTAAATAAATGAAACCACCCATCCCCTGGTGATGGTAAACAAATTAAAATGTTCATATTTGCGTCACAGAATTAGGCTTTTTATATCTGCTGATGCCACAGTCATAATAACCCCTTTATTCACAATGTTTTATATTAAGAGAAATTTCCCAGTCTGGTACAACTGGTTCATCTGTAGCCAAATTTCAGGATAGCGAGTGAGAAACAGGAATTTGGTTGCTCTGATAAATCAATTTCAGTAAGTACACATAAGGAAAAAAAAATCCTATCTTCTGTTGGCCCCAGAGGATCTTTCTGAAGAAAGAAATAAAAGTTTATGAAGTTCCTGAAGAGAATGTGGAGGAGTGCAAGGAACATGGGATCACACAAAGCCAGCAGTGCTCCGAATCTAATCCAGGTGTAATAATAGGCACACATAACTGGGACTAAGCCTTACTGAAGTTAATATGCCTTTGACTGGACTTTTATCCTCTTTCCCCCAGTTACCTCTCCCAGGCTTATCTCACATTATTTAAAAGCTGTTTGATGTTGAGAGAAGCTTTCAGGGGACTGTATGTGAAAGACAGGATGAAACTTCTTCTCTGAACTTCCTTGATTTATCTTAGGATCAAAGCCAATGTTTATTAAAATAAATGTCACACTGTCCAGGATAGTGTCAGTGTGAAAACAGGCCAGCAGAAGCTTATATTCTAATAATGGAGAGTTGTCATTGTTTCATTATTTAGAGTATTATTTTAGTTTTAAACAGAGTAACAGAAATCCTGTTTATATGAGAATTATTGATTAATAACCTCCCTGTTAAAAGGAAGAAAAAAGGAATCTTCTATGGATATTTGCTGACGTTTGGCATCAGTAGCGTTTCACTTTTTCTGCATGCAAATTCTATGCACATTTCCTTCAGTCTCAGGAAGCTTTCCCACCAACAGGTTCAATATCATTAACAAAAAGCCTCCCCAAAATTCCAGTATCTTAAGTGGTGCTTCTTGGCCAACTCTATAATATTCTTACAGTGTTTATATATATAGTAGGATAAAAAGTCCTTTAATTTAAAATCCACTAAGTTTATTCACAATTAAAAAATTAAATTAAAATTTAAAAAAACAGCATGAAACATATAAGTCAAAGTACCAAAGTACTAGAAATTCTTGGCTGGGTTTGGGTTTTCTTTTTGGGGTCCTTCTCTTGCAAGGGAACTGTGTGTTTTAATTAGTGCTAGAAGCAGACTCAAATTACTGTCGGCTCTTCTCTAATAGAAAATTGTCATTTTTTTTCCTGTCTCAATAGCCCTTGGTACATCTTGACATCTGTTTAGCACTCAGTTTTTTTCCAGGCAAATCTGCGTGATTGCACAGCTGGGTTATAGCACAAGCAACATAATAACTACTTCAGTAGCATCGAAGGCTATTAACTCATAGCAGACTCACTAACCTATCAAAATTCATTACAAAATTCCAGCAAGCCTTTAAAATTTATTTATTTATTTATTTATTAAAATTTATAGACCGCCCCACTCCCACAGGACTCCGGGCGGCTAACACAATATAACTTAACAAGACAAACAATACAGTAACGTTCATCCAGGGGTCAGATTTTATAAACCCCAGGCCTGCCGGAAAAGCCAGGTCTTAAGCAGCTTGCGGAAAACCAACAGGGTGGGAGCGGTCCTAATCTCCGGGGGGAGCTGGTTCCAAGACATGGGCTCCATCACAGAGAAAGCCCTCCCCCGCGGCCCCGCCAAATGGCACTGCTTGGCCGACGGGAGCTGAAGGAGGCCCAGCCTGTGGGATCTAACCGGACAAAGGGAACTATGAGGTAGTAGGCGGTCTCGCAAATAGCCTGGCCCTGAGCCATATAGAGCTTTAAAGGTAATAACCAACACCTTGAATTGGACCCGGAGACCAATAGGCAACCAGTGCAGCTCACGGAGGATAGGTGTAACGTGGGCGTACCGAGGAACACCCGCTATCACTCGCGCGGCTGCATTCTGGACCAACTGTAGTCACAGAAGCTTGAGATAACAGAGACTCAGGAACTCAGCTTTTAGCAAATTCAGTTGTATGATTCTATGTGAAGGCAGGTAGCAAAATATTACAGGTAGTCCTCATTTAATGATTGCCTTGTTTAGCGACTATTTGCAATTATGATGGTAATGAAAAAGTAACTTTGCGACCAATTTTGACATTTATGACCTTCGCAGGTCTGTAAAGCAAAGGAAAACTGAAGTAAGATTGTAAGCACAATTGTGGTTTCCCAAAGCTCATCCATACTCCGTCTCCCATATATTGATAAGGGATCTCAAAGTGTAGTTTAGGAAAGTCTGCCTCAGCATTCCCACATCATAGGGCAGAGCTCACTCACCACATCAGCTCTACCAACCCACAAGCGCTGAAAACTAGTGAGAGCTCATTTGCTGCTTTAGATCTTATCTCCCCATAGGCTGAGCTACTGGCCATCATCTTGTTTCAAGAATGGATCTGATATGGTGTTGGGGCTGGGAAGAGGGCGGAGAGGTGACTTTTTGATAGATGACCTATCATTCTACTCCAGGCTCCTTGCTAGCCTCAAGCCACCATCCACTGCAGATGTCCAGAGGGAAAGGGTATGTGAAAGCAGCTAACAGAAGCTAGGAGATCCCACAAAGGGGCCACATATTATACAAGTAAGTAAGTCTTTTTTCAGGAGAAAATGGTTTAGAAAAACCGGTCAGATGGCCGCAGCACCAGCTATGATATAAAGCAGTGGTTCTCAACCTTTTTAATGCTGCGACCCCCAACTGTTTGTAAATCGAGGACTACTCAACCAGTCCTAAGTCAAGGACTACTCAACTGATGCAGCACCGTTTGTAGAATGGGACTTTTGGCGGGCTCAGCAGGGCAGAGACAGCCTGGACAATTCCTATTGGCTTTTGAAAGCCAATAAAATTAGACTCTATTCAAGAGAGTCTGTTCTTTGGCTTTCAAAAGCCAATAGAATAAAAGGGAGTAGCACAGCCAAGGAAAAGGGGGAAAAATGGCGGACTGCGTTGTTTGGCGACCCCATGAAATGGTCATTCAACCCCAAATGGGATCCCCACCCACAGGTTGAGAACCACTGATATAAAGTAGGTGTTCATCAAAAATATTAGCCTAGCACCTTTGAGCCAAAATCAGGAGGATCCTCCTTGCAACAGAGAAAAGAACTGCATTTTAATTACTCAAGCTTTATTATCTGTGTAAATATATATCTTTATAACACAAAGGACAGTTCACCTCACATGAAAGATGCCACTGCAGCCAACTTTATATTGAAAGTAGGAAGCTGTGCCTCCTAGAACAATATTTCATTTGGTTAGGTTATTCTTCTTGGCTAACTGAATACATTTTGTTCCCTTGTATAATAAAATTAGTATAAATCAAGTTTATCCAAAGGCTGAGGAAAAGTATGCTTTCATTTCACAGGTTTACAGGGAAAACAAAAGATAAGCTACCCCCCACCCCAACAAACCCTAAAAAGCCTCATAACTTTCCTCTATTATCAAGGTAGACCAAGAGAAGCCACAAAGCCTTCTGTGATATCAAAAACCAAAAGAGGAACACCCTCCCCAATTACAAGCCCAACAAACAACCCAATTGCCAATTGCTGCAGGACAACTTGCTGCGGGTCAAAAATTACATAATATCGAAGAAATGGCAAATTGGCCATAGCAAGTGGCGAGTTGGCAATAGCAAGCTGGCCACAGCAAGTTGGCCATGGCTAATTGGCAGCAGTGAGTTGCCTGCAAGTTGGTCATGGAGAATGGTCCCATTCTGACCCCAAATGGCAAGAAGACATATACCAGTAGTTCAGAGGACATCCTTTGCATAACAAAACCAACAGCCAGGGATTACTGGCTCCAGAAAACTGCACGGCAGACAAGACACCCTTGGATCACCTATGCTGGAGTGCAAGCAATTCTACCATGTAATGTTGTTTGCTTATTTTTGGAAGCATGCGGAAATTTGGAAAATCTTTTCATTTTAGATATTACTCCCTTCCCATTAGCATTATGAATGTGGAGTCCTTGATGCTCTTTGAGCTTGGTTGTTTTCTTGCAGATGTTTCATTACCTAACTAAGCAATGGAATATCTGCAAGAAGACAACCAAGCTCAGAGAGCACCAAGGATTTCACAGTTCAACCCTGAGCTTCAAATATTCTATTAGCGTTATGATTGCATGCTCTGTGCATGCATATGTTGTGCATGTGCAGGTCCAACTATTGACTTTGGAGAACTATGTAAGTGGAGCTGAGCAACTGACGGGTTTGGGAGGTGTGTCCTACTAGCTTTTGATAGTGCTTTCAGTCAGTGGAGGGACTTGTGTGCACTATACTGAAACAAGACCAAAACCATGCCAGAAGATATCACAATGAAAAAAAAAATAACTGGGAGTAATAAAAATAAAAAGCTCAATAATAAAATTGGCACCCAAACAATAAAGGTCCAAAAACACGACTATAGTTTTTAAAAGAGCTGAGAAAACTAAACAGCCTTAGTGGGAGACTAAAAGAAAAGGTAGTTTAGGTGCCAGTTAAGCTTTTCTATAGAAGTTATTTCATAAATAGAGTACCACCATAAAAAATACAAATCTGTCAATAACTTTAGCTTTCCATGATTCCTTTATCATTCATTAAACAAATGTTGCTGTTTGAAAGAGCGTGGAAGGATGCTCTGGCCAAATCTAACAAGCTGACATTTTGTCTTAGACTTCAATTCCAATACTAATTATTGCTGTACAGTCTATGCACACATTGCTAAAATATTGTGAACCTTCTACCAACAGAATTACAGTTTGTAACTTAACACAGATATACTCACAGATAGACTGCAGTAGAACTTACCCAAAATTGCAACAACTTCATCATCTTGGATCACTTCCAAGGATCCTGAAACCACAAAGCAAAGATTGTCCACGCTCTCACCCGCATGGTAAATGAGATCTCCAGGAGCACAGTGCACAGTCTGAAATTCCATTGCAAGAGCTCGCAGGCACCCATCACTAGCTAGTCTGAAGGCTGGGTGCTCTTTAAAAACTTTTCGATTCAGATGTACACAGATATCTGCTCTCATGTCCTTAGGACAGATCTGTAAAACCTAGGACAACAGGACCAAAAGTAAGCACGCACAAGCCTTAAAGAGTGTGTGAAACCCTCCATGAGATTTATCTCTATATTAATTAATCCTTAATGCATTTGCCAAAGAATTTATTCTTTCTTTCTATAGTCAGTTAGTTCTAGCTAGAACTGGAAGCTTGTTCTGTTCTGTCGGTCACTGTAAATGTTAAACAAAGGGTGGCTAAAGGATTTAAAGCAGTGGTTCTCAACCTTTTTAATGCCATGACCCCCAACCGGTCGTAAGTCAAGGACTACTCAACCGGTGCAGCACCGTTTGCAGAATGGGACTTTTGGTGGGCTCAGCAGGGCAGAGACAGCCTGGACAATTCCTATTGGCTTTTGAAAGCCAATAGAATTACTCTATTCAAGAGAGTCTATTCTATTGGCTTTCAAAAGCCAATAGAATAAAAGGGAGTAGCACAGCTAAGGAAAAGGGGAAAAAATGGCGGACTGCGTTGTTTGGCGACCCCCGTAAAATGGTCGTTCGACCCCAAATGGGGTCCCGACCCACAGGTTGAGAACCACTGATTTAGAGGCAAGTTAAAGAAACCAAGCCTGTATGATCTAGGTTTTCCTTATATTTTGCTTAACAATAAATTAAAGTAACTTCAGAATATTATAGTTTTACAAGGCCAAAAGGAAAAAGTGATTTAAGTCAAATTTATTTTCAGATTAATTAATTAATTATGAAAATATTAGAATAAATTAACAAAACATTTACTTGTTATAAATACAAATAAGTATAATAAAATAGCAACATTGTGGTAAAACTCTTAATCTGTTTCATTTGACCAATAAGCTTGTTGCTATATAACTGATCATCACAGTTTCTTCCAACTGATATTTTGAACCTGTTAAGAATTTTATTTGCAAAATTAATTCATAACCATAAAAAGGTCAGACTTAATCTTTCTCTTTATTAGCTTTGCTTTACATTCTAAAGTACAGTAGATAAAATAAAATCTCAGTGCTTAGAGATTCAGGGGATATATGAAATTTCAACAGATTTGCTCAGATAAGTATGTAGCACTACTTACCTGAGCATTACTAGCACTAGCACTAACTGCAGAGTACAAAATACACTTGTTATTCATTTTGTAACATTTTTCACTATTCGTATGTTTGCAAAATCGGCAGACCTTGAGAAGTAGGCTTGAGAATTTGAAGATCTATATTTATCAGCCAATTGTTTTATTTATTGATTTTCTACAAGACAAGAAGTCAGGGTGGCAGTAAAAATATAGGCCAGTGGTGGCGAACCTATGGGTGCCAGAGGCGGCACTCAGAGCCCTCTCTTTGGGCACGTGCACCATCACCCCAGTCCTAGGCCTTCAGCTGGGTTTTATAAAACCTTTTCGCTTTAGGCCTCCGCCACCGTGTGGAAAAAAAAAAGTTCAGTCAATTTCAACTTCTCGTGGGAAAAAAAAGATCTTGCAACGTTGGAATTGATTGATTGAACTTTTTAGTCCCACCCAGTCGGCCATTACCACTGCAGCCACGCCCATCCAATGGGCCACGCCCAGCCAATGGGCCATGCCCAGCCAATGGGCCACGCCCAGCCAATGGGTCACACCCACCCGGCATAAGTGGGTTTTGGCTTGCAGTTTGGGCACTCAGTCTCTAAAAGGTTCGCCATCACTGATATAGGCTATTAGTAAAGTGCAGTGAAAAGCTAAGTAATGCTAGATTTCTCAAGGGACCTCACCTTTTCAGTATCAATGCCCCTGGACATTGACCAGGTAGAAACAATGTAGTCCATCACACGTTCACTCAAGCCTTTGGGCACTTGATAAAGCTTCAGGAAATCCCGGACACTGTTTAGCATTTCATGATATCGGTTTGTATTAGCATACATTTGCTGGAAGATAGTTGTCACATTCCCAAAAATGGTTGCGTATAACAGAGCTGCAAATAGAAGAAGGTGGGAAGGGGGAACGAAATGAAGGTGGGCCTTCTCTGAAAGAGGCAGATGGTTTGGCAACTACAGCAATACATTGCAGTATTTGTGGGAGAAAACAGCATCAATTCCATCAATTGCAGTAATAATTATCTTAATTGTTACAACCCTAAGCACTGATGCCATTTATTGCCTATTGATACAAGCCTTTAGAGATGTCCTTTCAAAATTTCATGTATTATATAAAAGAAGGGTGCCTCATCTTGATACAAATTCTCTTGTTTCAATTAAGAGTGCCATTTTCAATTTGGTTTATGTTAAATGACTTACTGGGTAACTTCACAGCTGTGCAATTAGGGAAACATTTTCTAACCCTGGAGGCTGCTCATGCCATCCAGGCTTGATGTCACCTTAAATCATTACCTCCCATTCACTTAACTGTACACAGGCACAGACCTCTTTCAGTGCTGTAAATAATAATGCATATATTTATTAACCTTCGTAAGCTTGCCTTTCCCAAACAGAAGTTCATGGAGTCTTACAAAAGTTAAAAATGGCTTATACAAAAAATGAACAGACACAAATTCAACAAAAGCCAGCTCAACGAAAGCCCTTCAGTAGCTTGAGCATGAAAGGTCTCTGATGTTTTTCCACTTGGCAGATCAGATTATTTTTAATAAAAGTCAGATAAATGTACTTAGAGAGAGTGTTACATTTGAGAAACCACAACAGGAGAAGCTGAGACTCAGAAAGATATCAGATCCAGAAACAAGCCTCCATATACAACAACAGTATTTGATTATTTCATGCAAGAGATGCAATTTCACCTAAAAAGGAATCGCAGGAAGTATTGCTGGGGAAAACTCTGCCAAACTTTTGAAATATTGCTGCCAGCTATACAGTTCAAAGCTCTCATGAAACCGTTATAGTAAGTCCAACCATTGTTCCATCTAGTGTACTGGGGATGTACTGATGTATTGCAGATGGGCAGGGACCGATAGGCAAATTTGAATTCTGAAAGCAGGTCTTAAATGCTTTCACAAAATGATTGCCCAGAAGTCTGCCAATTTGCAAAATGGCTACCACAGATGAGATAGTAATCACAGACCAATTTACTGAAAGATTAAAAGATGAGGTTATTAGTTTATTTATTTATTTATTTATTTATTTATTAATAAAATTTAGTTCATGCTTGTCAATTCATACTTTTCAACCCCTAATAGGAAATATTAGGACTTAAACCCAAATGGTTTATTGCTGGGTTGCATTATTCCTACAAATATATTTAAGGCCTGTCCACTACTGTTATCTGAGCCAAGCCAGCATTGGTGCTATGCCTGTATGTTCCCAGATCAGTGTCTTCCAAGGAAAGCTGAAGCCATTTTCTTTTGGTTCAGGTGTGCCTCAGCTCCAATATTGGATCTTCACTGGGAGGAGGCTGATTTTCCAATTGTGAGAACTATTGTCCATTCCTACTCCCTTCCACCTGAGCTTACTTCCTGGTAGATTTCACAGACAACTTTATTGGCAAATCTCCTCTTAATCTGGTCAGTTTTACAATGCCTGTAAAAAAGTGTGCTGGCCTGACCATCTCTGCTTTTGCACAGATCCAACTCTTGTAGCAATCCAATTTCTGAGTACAAGCTATTACACACACTTTCTCCATAAACAGTGTTTCTGGAACCATAGTTAAATATTGGAAAAAAGTTCCTACTTGAGGTTGCAAATTTGTGATGTCATGCCATGTGCACTGCTTTTAACAGAAATGTATATGCAAGAAAAATATTACCTTCACACCAGACAACTTTCCCCTCATCAACCCCTCCGATATCTTGCGGCTTGGCCAAAGACAAACAATATATGCTGAAAACACAAGGGGGAGCTAGTTATTAATTTTGCTCCTTTCTGTAAGGACTGGGAATTCAAGGGTCTGAATCCCACTGATAATTTTGTAGTCTCCTATTGGATGGCTGGAGGAGACACTGAGTAGTTCAGGGTTCTCAACGTTTAGCCCTTCAAATTAGAACACATCAGGAAACAGACTCCACGAGATATGCTGAAATTTTATTTTTTATATAGGCTATAGTAACAGAACCTTGAAATCCTGACAGCCTCTCTTATATCAGAGAATCAAATTTCTGATGATGTTACCTAGTTTGGTAATGAAACATCTGCAAGAAAACCACCAAGCTCAGAGAACACCAAGGAGCCCACAAAATCAAGTTTACATTTCTTTGCAACATCTGCTTCTTTTTCCTTTTGCTAATTGTCAAATTCCTTCTCCAAAGTCATCTCTGTAGTTCTCTATCCAGAATTCCTTATTGTCAGGAAGAATGAAATGGATTGCAAAGTTCACCTTGAAATGCTTACAAGAAGTTGGAGAGTAGAAATAGCTCCATGAGGAAATGCCCATTTATGCCAATATTAGACTATTTTTGAAGTATCTCTAAAATGTTGTCCATATATCAGCATTAATAGAGAGATGGTACATTATATAGCAACAATGTTCTAAGCAATTTAACGTGCAGCTTATATCAAACTATCTTGAATCTTTCTTTATCCTGGCTAAGGCTGAAAGGATCACAGGCAATAGATTCTTGAAAATAAGATTAATCCCTTAGATAAACCCAAGATTGAATGGCAAGCATTTAAATATTATCAACATAAACAAATAGATTCAAATGGCCAATCATTCTAAAAATATTGGTTTTTTTTAAACCAAAAACATGCCTCTTCCCATATAAAATGGTTCAATTCCTCTGATGATCAATAATGGTTATCTTGATTTTGTAACATCCCATGGAACTTCATTTAACAATCAAAAAGAAAAGGTTTTGGTTGTGAGGTTTATCTATAGAACAAGCTTCTCCCTTGAAATTAAGCATGTACCAACTTTATTACAGCTGAAGGTAAAGATAGCCTTGAGTGTGCTCGGCTTTTGGTGCAAACCTTCATGTATTTTTCTTGGCAGAGTGATGGAAGAGATTTGAATTTTGTCCAGGGTGGAGGTCTAGACTAGTCAACAGACCTAGGTGGTTCCCCATTCTATATTAAGCAATGTCAACTCTGCTAAGTTTCAGCCAAGATTAGCCCCACAGTCTCTTTAGATTTTAGGTACATTTTTTTTCTCACCTTAATGTTTCATCATTTTAGTAGTGTTACTGTGACCAAGTGTGTTTCTTGTACATTCATCAGAGAAAATAGCAAAGTGCATACGGAAAAAAGACATTATTTATTTGTACATTGCTCTTTCCTCTGGAACAGAACAGCATAATGTACAGAGGAAAATCACCATAAAAACTATTTATAATTGTAAGAAAAAAGGCCCAATTGCTGATAAAAGTTTTTAAAATGCAACATTTAGGTATACTATAAACTGAGTAAGCTGCCCAGAGTGTGTGAGCCGTCCCTGTATGTGAGTTGGGCAGCTACATAAATGTGTCTAATAATTAATAAATAAATGGTTCATGAAGCCAGTTTGATTGTGAAGCAATTACGGCTCTGCACTTGTCCTAGTAAGAATACTATAAATTATTTTCTAAACCTAAAAGCCATCCATGCTTCTCCTGGAAGAGAATTTAATAAACAGGGCAGCATCTCCCAAAATAGCTTTCTTTGAGTCAGCACGCTACAGGCCAAAGTCACAGACAATAGTACCAATAGCAATAATTTTATTTTTCATGTGCCCATAACCAGATGAGATCCATAAACAAGTCCTCCCCAATTTATCTTAGTAAAGGATTTTAGGGAAGACAACATTTCAGGTATTTAATAATATTGCTTTATTAATACTTTTATTATTAAATTTATATACCACCCAAATCCCAGCAACTCCATGGGATCTTTTTGGTTAGTGAAGATTTCTATATATATGTATATGTGTGTGTGTATATATTTCAAAAAGAAACATTAAAATACAAATTATCATAAAGGGGAAAGGGGAAAGGAAATAAAAGAATAAATTTAAAAGTGCCAAAAAAATACATCAAACAAATAGACTAGTATTCTCAACCTTTTTGACACATCTGAACTTTGAAGAGTTATTTGGTCAAACAACAACCAGACAGCAGCATTTTGCCCCAACTGCAACTTTTGGACCATTTTCAAAGGTAGAAGACGTAGCATGCAGCACAGTAATCCAATTGTGAGGGCATGGATCACAAAGTTAGAGCATCATGTCCCTGGGATCTATTCATAAATAAATAGCAATGGAGCAGAAGTGATTGCTGTATTTAGAAGCCCGAAAAGGAAAAATTCTCTGCCATGACTTGTGTTATCACAGAAGCATTAATATTTGGCAATGATAAGAAAGCGTCAATAACTGAAAAGTGATAGATAGTCTTGATTTAGGCTCAGGAGCCAATTATTTATACAGATATAAAAAAACCATAGAAGAATTGAAGATTAAAAAATAAAATAATTTACAGGTGCTATATACATGAATTCACATGATGGAAGTTCAGAGAAGGAAAACACAAAAGATGCAAATTTTAAGAAACAGTCTTTAGGTAGCAAATCCCTAAGAGAAAGCGAGAGAACTACCTAAGACAGGGGTGGGGAACCTTGGCTCTTTTATGACTTGTAGACTTCAACTCCCAGAATTCCTGATCCAGCCATGCAACTACTTAAGAGAAAGCAAAATTGAGAAAGCCTGAATCGGGATCCTTCAGAGAGAATGAACAATGCCATCGTGCAAAGAAAGAGCAGTTCAATGTGATCTCAGTTTCAATCCAGGTCTCAATAAAGGTACTGTCCCATCTTTAAAATATTTACTTTCTCAGGAAATGTTCAGAATAGAAGAAGAAATAACAATGTCTGAAACATTTCTGAGAGTGGTCTGGCAATAAAGCCACCACCATCTGAAAAAGCAGGCCATTGAGCAATCATTTATTTTAGGAATGAGATGTAATCTTTTTATGATCATTCACTCTATGACACATCACAGCATTTGAGTACCCTAACCCTTAGCTACTTGTTTCTTCACTGTTGATGGTTGATCCTAAAAGTC